CTGCTGCTCCTTGGACAGGCGCGGGCTGTTCACGTGGCTTCTGCTCCTTGGATCGGTGCTGGCTGCACGCTGTTGCTGTTCCTCAGATGGGGCAGGCTGATCGTGAGGCTGCGGCTCTTTGGACAGGAGCTGGTTGCTTACAGAGCTACTTACTGCTCCTCTTACGGGTGTGGGGTGCTTGCGCAGCTATTGCTCTTCAGATGGCCGACAGGATGCTTGCCTGGCTGCTGCTCCTTGGGTGGGAGTGAGCTGTGCATGCGGCTGCTGCTCCTCAGATGCGGGCGGGATGCTCCCCCAGCTGCTGTTCATCGGACAGGTGCAGACTGTGTGGCTGCTGCTCCTTGGGCCGGAGTGAGCTGCACGTGCAGCTGTTGCTCCTCGTACGGGGGCTGTCTGCTCGCGTGGCTGCTGCTCCTTGGATGGAGGATGGGCTGCTTGCGTGGCTGCTTCTCTTCAGGCGGGAGTGAGCTGCATGTGTGTCTGCTGCTCCTCGGACCAGTGTGGACTGCGCAGGGCTGCTGCTCCTCAGACGTGGGTGGTCTGTTCATGTGGCTGCTGCTCCTTGGACTGGGGGAGGCTGGGCGGCTACTGCTCCTTATATGGGAGCGGGCTGCTTGCGGCAATGCTGTTCCTCGTATGGGTATGAGCTACTCACACTGCTACTGCTCCTCGTATGAGGGCAGGCTGCTCATGCGGCTGCTGCTCCTCGTATGGGGGCAGGCTGCTCATGCGGCTGCTGCTCCTCGTATGGGGGCAGGCTGCTCATGCGGCTGCTGCTCCTCGTATGGGGGCAGGCTGCTCATGCAGCTGCTGCTCCTTGGACGGGGGCAGGTTTCTCGCACACCTACTGCTCCTCAGACAGGAGGAGGGTGTGGGCTGCTCAGCTGCTGTTCCTCAGATGGGGGCGGGCTGCGTGGGGCTTCCGCTTCTCACTCGTGGGCAGGCTGCTCACGTAGTTTCTGCTCCTCGGACGAGGGAGTGGGCTGCTCACACAGTTGATAGCTGTTGCTCCTTGGACAGGAGTGGGCTGCTCACGTGTCTGCTGCTTGCATGGTTGCAGTGCCCTGGGCTGAGCCATTTCTATTTTCTTTGAATGTTATTAACACTTAAGGTAACAGACATTGGTTTTGTTCTATAGTAAATATTAATAGTTCCAAAGTAACAACAACAAGCCCCCAAAAACATGCTTGGGATTGTTTTCTTGTACTTCCGGTCATCTGCATTTCAAGATCAATGGGAATAGCTCTTCCTGTGATTAGACCAGCACTGACCAAGTGTTACAGTTTATTTTCTACTTTCATGAATCACTTCCACCTTAGTTCCTTTTTTTGTTTTTTGTTTTTGTTAATTCTCACTCAAGGATATTTTTTTCAGTGATTTTTAGAGAGAGTGGAAAGGAAGGAGAGGGGTAGGGAGGGAAGAGAGAGAAAGAAACATCCATGTAGAGACACATCAATTGGTTGCCTCCCACATGCTCCCCGACCAGGGCCGGGGATCAAACTGCAACACAGTTATGTGCCCCTTGGCTGGAATCAAACCAGTGACCCTTCAGTGTGTGCGTCGACACTCTAACCATTGAGCAACACCAGCCAGGGCAGTTCCATTTTGTTTTTGAATTAGGTAAAACAGCTATGAGTTCTTAAATTGAAATCACTGGTACAAAGGTACTTTTAGGGACACCTGGCTTCTGTTTCTGCCTTCCCTGTAGGTAATAATTTTTTTAGATTTTCTTTTACCCTTGTTATGTTTACTTTTTGGACCAAAAACGTGTACATGTATTCCTTTTCCTCTTTGCATGTTACATGAAATGCAGCACAGTCCACACTCTCCAACACCTGCTCGGTTTTCATATGTAAATAACACATCGCAGATTCGGTCCCCCCGCAGGCCAGGCAGTGTGTCGTTTCCCACTGACTGCTTTTGCCGTGTCCATTCAGCCCGCTGTCCCATAGGTGGGCACTGGGTTTCTAATCCTCGCTGAGCATGTGTGCCTAGCCTTGCACATTTCACCTCAGTGTAACTTGGAAGTAGATTTTTAGAGTGGGATTGCAGCGAAGAGTAAATGTGTGTGTGATTCTGCTGGATCCCACCAGATCCCTCCTCCCAAAGGCTGTATCTCCTCTGGTTCCCAGCAGTGTGCAGAGTGACTTTCTCCACAGCTTCACCCCCTCAATGTGTTGTCAAACTTTTGGATTTTTGCCATCTGCTGGTGAGAAATGGTATCTCAGTGTAGTTTTAATTCACATTTTTTAAATATGAGTGAGCTTTTTCATCTTTCCAAATGTGTATTTTTGCATTTCTCTGAAGAACAGCTTTCATATCTTTTGACACTATTTCTGTCAGTATCAGGTTGTTGGTCTTTATCATCTTTTTCCATTTTTAGGAGCTCTTTAGTTTGGTTTCCCTCTTTGACATTGGTCTTTTTATTCTGCTTACCATAGAATCATTTTTATTGCTGTTTAGTCATGCAGATTTTTTTAGTTTTATAACATAATAGTCTTTTTCTTATTACTCCTGGATTTTGAGTCATAGTTCTTGGTTTTACTCCCTTCCAGTTATATTTAAATTCACCGTCTTCCAATGTTTGAATTGATTTTTTACATTTATATATTAATTCATTTGGAATTTATCCAGCTAAATAGAAGAAATAGATCCAGCTTAATCTTTTTCCAAATGACTGGTTGGTTCTCATCCCTTATTTCTTTAAAAAAAACAAAAATGAAATCTTTCTTTTCCTCATTTATTTGAGGTATCCCTTTATCTTTAAATTTTCATATGTATTTGGACCTCTTTCTAGATTTTTCATTCTATTTCATTGTTCTTTTTATTTCTGTGCCCGTAGCATTTTGGTGTAATAGGGTTTTCCTGGCTATTCTTGCTTATTTATTTTTCTAAATGCACTTTATCTTCAAGTGTCTGGCTCTACAAAAACATAGATGCCATTTTTTTTTATTGATTTTAGAGAAGAAGGGTAAGGGAGAGAGAGAAACATCAATGATGAGAGAGAATCATTGATTGGCTGCCTCCTGCACGTCATGTACTGGGGAGCCTGCAACCTGGGCATGTGCCCTTGACCGGAATCGAACCTGTGACCCTTTAGTCCACAGGCCGCCGCTTTTATCCACTGAGCCAAACAGGCTAGGCCTACGACAGTGGTCAGCAAACTGCTGCTCGCGAGCCACATGCGGCTCTTTGGCCCCTTGAGTGTGGCTCTTCCACAAAATACCGACTTCTGCGCATGGGCCACGAAGTTTCAATCACACTGTACGTGCGCCCGCACGTGGTATTTTGTGGAAGAGCCACACTCAAGGGGCCAAAGAGCCGCATGTGGCTCGTGAACCGCAGTTTGCCGACCACTGGCCTAGGGCAAGGCATTTTTTTTTTTTTTTTTGAGATTGCATTCATTCATAGGTTAACTCGGGGCAAGGAGCCACCCACCCTTCCTCCTATGGCTTCCATGTGCTCTACATGTCTGTCTGCGCCCTCGGGCTTCCTGAGTCCCAGGGAGAATCTCCTGGGTTCAGCATCAAGGCCAAGGCTGTTCCCCACCTCGCACTCCTCCCTCAGCACTCGTTCCTGGGCAAGTCCCTTCCCTATTGAAGGCTTCATCAACCCCTAATGACCTGGAAATCAGTAGTTTAGCCCAAGTGTTTGCACAGCCAACACCTTTGACTGCTCGAATGTCACATATTCCTGTGTCTTCAGTGCTGCTCATCTGAAAGCTCCTCTCTGATGCCTCCTGACAGCTCTCAGCTTCTCCCCTTCCACTTGACCCCAAAGGCCACCAGAGTTGGTGGGCAAGCCAGCAACACCTGCATCCTCACACGCAGGCCCCTCACTGAGGCCTCGGGACAGATGTGTGAGGCTTCTCTGGGGAAGGAGTGGTTCTTGCTGCAACTCGGGCTCTCTGTGCACATCAACATGTGGGCACATCACGTTCTCCTCCCACAGGTTCCATCTTATGGTATGCAGTACTTCGGGTTTCCCAGAGCTGTATCTCCCACTCCAGGAGCAGTCCATGCCCACTGCCTGAAGGGACAAGCTCTCCCATTTGCAGGGCCTGGCATGGTTTACTCTCCTACAAAGCTCTGACTAGCCTGGCTCAGGCAGCATCCTGTGACTCCTCAGTGACAGGAGGGTGACTTGCATGGTTGCTCTGGGGGTGAGCCCCTGGGGGCAAACAAGAGGTCTATCATCTGCTTAGCTTGGCACCTGATGAGGTATTCAGTGGGTGCCTACTTAGTACTTAGTAGATGCTTGTATAACAAACTTAAGAGCTAAAAAATTCTGACTAGTGCCTAAGACATGGAATGAATGGGCTAATTCATACATGGCAGCCCACCCGCCCTGCCTTCCGTGGCCTGCTCCCGGGCTCATTACTCGGGGCCCCGCCACCCCCGAGCGCTGCGTGGTTTCTCAGTCACTGCCAGACGTGGGGGAGTGACAGCAGGGCACTCTGTGCCCACACGGTGCCTGGCACAGGGACATTCCAGTAGCTGTGGTAGCTGCTTTCTATCGAGAGTCACATTCAAACCAGTGTTAGGGATGAGTGGATAAAATGAGCATGACACCGTGCTTTCGGGGCAGACCTCACTTCACACACACACACACACACACACACACATACACACACATACACTCTCAGGGAGAGCAGAGGTTTGCTTCTAAGCCCGTTGCCTGCATTTTTTCAGAGTTAAGCACCCTGCCTTTGTCTCTCCCTAATTAACCTACGACCATTGTGAAGTGTCTCTTCTCTTTTATAGGTGAATTCAGTATTTGAAAACTTGTCCCTCTTATTTCCAAAGCCAAATTCCTATTCTGGAATATATGTCAGAAAATATGCCTTTCTTGGCATATTTGCACACCTTTTATGAAATACTGTGTCTTTTTCTGGAATACAATGTAAATAAAATAAATGTTAAAGTAATGTGTGTTTTTTTTTAAAGAGCATTTTTATATGAGCATATTTTCACAACCTAAAACTAAATTTCTTTATCTAGTCTATCTATATCTTTTGAAAATGTGGACACAGCTAAGAAGAAACTCCCTGTTCACATTTTAGATGGCCTGACTCTGAGCTATAAGGTAAGTGCTGGTCCTCTTTGTAAGAACATTGCTTTCTGTTAAAATGAGAATGTGCCTGTGATGGGTTACTTTCTATTCTAATTTTCTGTTCTTGTTTTCGTAGGTCCCATGGCCTGTGGACATTGTTATAAGTTCAGAATGTCAAAAAATTTATAATCAGGTGTTCCTTCTCCTACTGCAAATAAAATGGGCAAAATACAGTCTGGATGTTTTACTATTTGGTGGTAAGATTTGTTTTCTGCAGATAAATTATCATTTAATTTTAGCCCTGAAAAGAGGTTGGTATATACGAGTACCAAAATGACATGTATTCATAGCAGCATTTTTACAGATGTCAGAATTGATGTCCCTGAATGAAATACCAGATATATATATACAGTTAACCTGAAATACAACAACTTGATTAGGAATTTAGCCAGAATAATGACTCATCTTAGGTAATGTGAAAATTCTAATGACAAGTCATGGGACTTTGCATATACATTTTTGATAACAGCAATCATCCAGGTGATACAGAAACTTCTCAGAGCTTAACTTCCAGAGACTCTGAAGGGGGTGTCCCTGCCATCCACATGGTGACCACGGGCTGAGGACCTCCCCTGAGCAGGAGGGCCAGCTTGGAGTGGAGCTTGTCCCCCACACTGCTCTTTGAATCCTTTACAGAACTAGCTGGACAGCCACCACTGCAGGACGGGCTTTTGTGTGGACAGGAAATGGCTGCCCAGTTTGGACCACAGAAGAAACCAGTGAGGCAGCAGATTCATCGCATGTTCCTCTTGCGCGTGAAGCTCATGCACTTTGTGAACAGCTTGCACAACTACATCATGACCAGGGTTCGTATCTGTTTATAGAGAACTACAGGCCTGGTGCACGACATTTGTGCACTGGGGTAGGGAGGTCTCTCAGCCCGGTCTGCACTCTTTCATGGTCTGGGAGCCCCTCAGGGGATGTGCAACTGATGGCTTAGGCCCGCTCCCCGCAGTCGGACACCCTCAGTCAGCACTGCCGTGGAGGCAGGCTGCTGCGCTCTCCAGGCATCAGCCCGGCATGTGGCTGAGGAGCGCACTGACCACCAGAGGGCAGCTCCTGCGTTGAGCATCTGCCCCCTGGTAGTCAGTGCTCGTCGTTCCGCTGTTCGGTCGATTTGCGTATTACCCTTTTATTATATAGGACTAGAGGCCCGGTGCACAAAAATTTGTGCACTCGGCAGGGAGAGGGGTCCCTCAGCCCAGCCTGTGCCCTCTTGCAGTCTGGGACCCCTCAGGAGATAACGACCTGCTGGCTTAGGCCTGATCCCGGTGGCAGAGGGCAGGCCCAATCCCTAGGTGCAGCCCCTGGTCGGGCTCAGAGCAGGGCTGATTGGGGTGCCACCCCTGTCATGCACAGAGCAGGGCGGATCGGGAGGTTGCGATGCCACCCCTAGTCACGCTCAGGGTAGGGCCGATTGGGGGGTTGGGGCACCGCCCCCTGTCACACTCAAGGCAGGGTCGATAGGGAGGTTGCGGCGCCACCCATCACACACACAGCAGGGCCGATCAGGGAGTTGAGGAGCTCCCCCCTGTCACGCACAGAGCAGGGCCCATCAGGGGGTTGGGGAGCTCCCCCCTGTCACGCACAGAGCAGGGCCGATTAGGGGGTTGAGGAGCTCCCCCCTGTCACACACAGAGCAGGGCCTATCAGGGGGTTGGGGAGCTCCCCCCTGTCACACTCAGGGCAGGGCCGATGGGGGGGGTGGGTTGGGGTGCCGCACCCTGTCACACACAGAGCCGCAGGGCGATTAGAGGGTTTGGTCGCTGCCCCTGTCACGCTGATCCGGTGCTGGGAGGCCTCGCGGCTCTGCTGATCCCGGTGCTGGGAGGCATATTACCCTTTTACTATATAGAATAGAGGCCTAGTGCATGGTTGGGGGCCGGCTGGTTTGCCCTGAAGGGTGTCCTGGATCAGGGTGGGGGTCCCCACTGGGGTGCCTGGCCAGCCTGTTTGAGGGGCTGAGGGCCCTTTTCAGACTGGCGGGTGACTGAAGCTCCCAACCTGTCCTTTTTTCCTTTTTTTTAAATTCTGGGCCAGCTTTAGCTCTGAGGCTCGGCTCCAGCTATGAGACCTCCGCTGCTGAAAGCAGGTTTCTGTACTTTGTTTACCTTCTGTATTTGAAACAATGTTGCGGTACTGCTGGCTGAAGCCTGGGGTTTTGTTTAGCTTCTATATTTGTTACAGTGTTGCTTAGAGTGCAGCTGAGAGGCCGGCAAGGCAGGCGGGGAAGCTTGGCTTCCTCCGTCACTGAAGCAAGCAAGCCTCCCTGTTCACATCAGCTGCCTGGCTGCCGACCGCCATCTTGGCTGGCAGTTAATTTGCATATTGCCCTGATTAGCCAATGGGAAGGGTAGCGGTCGTACGCTAATTACCATGTTTCTCTTATTAGATAGGACTAGAGGCCCGGTGCACAAAAATTTGTGCACTTGGGGGGGTTAGGGGGGGTCCCTCAGCCCGGCCTGTGCCCTCTCGCAGTCTGGGACCCCTCGGGAGATAACGACCTGCTGGCTTAGGCCTGCTCCCAGGTGGCAGAGGGCAGGCCCAATCCCTAGGTGCAGCCCCTGGTCAGGCTCAGAGCAGGGCCGATTGGGGAGTTGGGGCACCACCCCCTGTCATGCACAGAGCAGGGCAGATTGGGAGGTTGCAATGCCACCCTCAGTCATGCTCAGGGTAGGGCCGATTGGGGGGTTTGGGCACCGCCCCCTGTCACACTCATGGCAGGGTCGATGGGGAGGTTGTGGCACCACCCCCTGTCACGCACAGAGCAGGGCCGATCAGGGGGTTGAGGAGCTCCCCCCTGTCACTCACAGAGTAGGGCCGATAGGGGAGTTGGGGCACCGCACCCTGTCACACTCAGGGCAGGGAGGATCAGGGGGTTGGGGCGCCGCCCTCTATAACCCACAGAGCAGGGCCGATCAGGGGGTTGGGGGCCGCCACTGTCACACTCAGGGCAGGGCCGATGGGGAGGTTATGGCTCTACCCCATCACACACAGAGCAGGGCCCGTGGGGGTGGGGGGCTTGGGGTGCCCCCCTCTATCACCCACAGAGCAGGGCCGATCATGGGGTTGGGGCGCCGCCACTGTCACACTCAGGGCAGGGCCGATGGGGAGGTTATGGCTCTACCCCGTCACACACAGAGCAGGGCCAGTGGGGGGGGGAGTGGGGTTGGGCGCCGCACCCTGTCACACACAGAGCAGGGCCGATCAGGGGGTTGAGGCACTGCACCCTGTCACACACAGAGCCGCAGGGCAATCAGGGGTTTGGGGAGCTCCCCCCTTTCAGGCACAGAGCAGGGCTGATCAGGGGGTTGGGACGCCTTCCCTTGTCACGAACAGAGCAGGGCAGATAGGGAGGTTGTGGCCCCGCCCCCTGTCACACACAGAGCCGCAGGGCGCCCTTTTACTATATAGGATAGAGGCCTGGTGCATGGGTGGGTCTGGCTGGTTTGCCCTGAAGGGTGTCCTGGATCAGGGTGGGGGTCCCCACTGGGGTGCCTGGCCAGCCTGGGTGAGGGGATGATGGCTGTTTACAGCTGGTCACACACCCTTCAGGGTGGGGGTCCCCACTGGGGTGCCTGGCCAGTCTGGGTGAGGGGCTGAGGGCTGTTTTCAGGCCAACTGAAGCTCCCAACTGCTCCTTTTTTCTTTTTTTTTTCTTTATTCTGGGCCAGCTTTAGCTCTGAGGCTCCAGCTCTTAGGCCTCCGCTCCTGAAAGCAGGTATCTGGTTTGTTTCGGTTCTATAATCGAAACATTGTATAACTCCAGCTCTGAGATCCCGGGCTCGCTGAAAGCAGGTTTCTGGGGTTTTGTTTAGCTTTTATATTTGGTACAATGTTTCTTAAACTGCAAGCTCAGAGACGGGCAAGGCAGGCAGGGAATGTTGGAGTCCTCCCTCACTGAAGCAAGCAAGCCTCATGTTAGTTTCAAGCTGCCTGGCTGCTGGCCGCCATCTTGGATGGCAGTTAATTTGCATATCTCGCTGATTAGCCAATGGGAAGAGTAGCGATCGTACTCCCATTACCATGTTTCTCTTTTATTAGATAGGATTCCTTCCAACAGTCATACACCCAGAGGAGCCCACCACATACTCATAGACTGTAAATGTAAAAATAGCCCCTAGGACAGTTGTTCTCAACCTTCCTAATGCCGCGACCCTTTAATACAGTTCCTCATGTTGTGGTGACCCCCAACCATAAAATTATTTTCGTTGCTACTTCATAACTGTAATTTTGCTACTGTTATGAATTGTAATGTAAATATCTGATATGCAGGATGTATTTTCATTGTTACAAATTGAACATAATTAAAGCATAGTGATTAATCACAAAAACAGTATGTAATTATATATGTGTTTACGATGGTCTTAGGCGACCCCTGTAAAAGGGTCATTCGACCCCCAAAGGGGCGCGACCCATAGGTTTTGAACTGCTGCCCTAACAGTGACAGTGGGGTCGGGAGAGGGTGTTTTTGAGACCTGTGTCCCATCGGCCCTCCTGTCCACAGGGACGGGCACAGACAGCGCCCTCTTTTGGAGTTGCCTTCCTACCTGCTGCAGGAGCCTCTGAACTTGATCAGTGTCGACAGCTGCCCCTGGAAATCACTTCAGTTTTGAGTAGCAGCCAGAATCTGTCAGGCTAGTGTGGAGTGTCAGGAGGAAGAACCATATACTCTTTTCTTTTCTTTTCTTTTCTTTTCTTTTCTTTTCTTTTCTTCAAAACAAGAAACTTCATTACAGTGTAAATATTTCTTACACATCTTAGAACTAGCTCAAGAGGAAGTTCTGAGTGTGGTACTCGGCTATTTGAATGATGGCTGCATTACTGGAGGGCAGGACTCATTTGGGGTTTCAGATGGTTGCCAAAAACACTTCTAGTCATACTATCTCTAGGTTCTAAAATCCACTCTGTGGGGTGAAGTGAGTCCTCCCAAGCCTCCATGTCGGAACTGCTGCTCTCTGCCTCCTGGGCCTGCAGCATGGCCTTCTAAGCGCCGGCCTCGGCCTCCAGTGCTGAGGAAGTGGCAGGAGGATCAGGTGTGCAGTTGTGAGTACAGGAAGCAGTTTATTCCCGTATCATTATTTATTAATTATTGTAGCATTTGTTTGTATTACAACTGTAAACTTACTTTGCCCACCTCTATATAGACAATGGAACTTAGAAAAACTTGTTCAATTTACCTGATAATTTTTTTCTTTTCCTTTTTCAAAAAAATTAGTGTATTCCTAGCCACTTTGGCTTGGTGGATAGAGTATCTGCCTGTGGACGGAAGGGTCACAGGTTCAATTTCAGTTAAGGGCATGTGTGCAGGTTGCAGGCTTGATCCCCAGGAGGGAGTATGTGGGAGGCAGCCGATCAAGGATTCTCATCACTGATGGTTCTATCTCTCCTTTTCTCTTCTTCTCTGAAATCAATAAAAATATTTTTTAAATAAAATAAAAGAAAGTTTTGTGTGGGGTTACACATGTTCTCCAAGAAGAAATCTGATTATACTTTGATCTTTCTCTTCCAAGATTCTTCACAGTACAGGGTTGGAATTTCAACATCAAATTGAGGAAGCCAAGGATTTAGATCAATTGATTAAAATTCACTATAGATATTTGTCAACCATCCATGATCGATGTCTGCTAAGAGAAAAGGTACGTGAGACGGGACGTCACCTGTAATATTGTCCACTGAGGTGGGAATGAAGCTGAGCAAGGGACGTTGCTTCTTGGCTTTGGAATTTTATAGTTATTAGGTTTCTGTTCTGTAGAATATTCTTTAAGGAAAGACCAGACCACATGAAGTTACAAATTTAGAGAAACCGTGAGAATTCTGTTGCCAGCCTGGCCTCACCCTGCTCTGCGTGTAGAGTCAGTTGGAAATTTTTATCTGCACATGTGGCATAAAAGTGCTTTATTCAGGAAGTGCACCCACCTTAGTGTGAATATTGGGATGAAGTCCTCTTACAGCCATTGGGAATGCTTGCCTCGTTTCACTGGTGAATTTCAGTGACTGTCCGAAGAAACGGGTCGGATTGTGCTGGCACCACCTGTGCTGCGGGTGCTGCGTGTGTAGCCAGGCCCAGTGCGCTTTTTTCCAAGCCAGGCACCCTTTCTCCTGCGCAGCACGCAGTCGTTGTGCTAAGGGACTTCCTTGGTGACTGAGTGAGGTAAAAGTTTTGGTGTCAGGATCCAAACACAGTTACCGAGACGGTGATCTGTCTGTCCGTGGCTTTGATCTGCAGGTCAGCTTTGTGAAGGAAGCCATCATGAAGGTGTTGAACTTGGCTCTCATGTTTGCAGATGGCTGGCAGGCAGGCCTTGGGGCTTGGCAGTAAGTATGTGGCTTATGGAATCTCTGTGCTGTAAGTGTTTTCATTGGCTCCATCCTGAGAGTTCTTTTTCATCTTGGCAACACATCGCATACCACATAGTTAGGGGGAAAATTGAATAATCTGCTCACCTAAACTAGGCAACATCAGGATTGTGCGATTCTTTTGTGAGCAGTAAAATAATAAGAAAAACTTAAAGTCTTTTAATGAGGACAGATATCCTTAGATTACATTCATGTTTTGTTAGATTTTTATTGTCGATGCTTAAGACATACATAGAAGTAGAGAGAAAAGGACAGCCCGGACCCGAGGCGCCCTCACTCCGCCTCAGCAGTCGCCAGCTGTAACTGGTTCTGCTCACTGCTCACCCACTCACACTTAATGGATTTTAAAGCAAATTCTAGGAGCCATGCTACACTAGTCCCAAATTATATTTCAGATGAGCCTTAGAAGAATGATTCTGTATTTGATGTGTGGGGTGTTCATGACTCCCGTCAGCACATGGAGGGCAAGCGCCCTGTGAGCAAAGGGTGCGAGGACCAGGAGCTCGCCTGCCTGAGCACCCTGCCATGTCCTCACTGTGAGCTCAAATGTACAGCTGAGCAGTTTGTTTTTCTCTGCCTGGTTCATAAAATTAATGTAATGCTGCAATTAATTGCTTATTTTTATTTTTCAATTACAGTTGACCTTCAACATTATATTAGTTTCAGGTGTGCAGCATACTAGTTAGACATTTGCATGCCTTATAGACGGATCCCCCCAATGTGATGCTGCTGCCGTTACTTCCCTAAATGAAAAGTGCGGGTCCCACTGACTGGTTGTTGTGATAACAGCTTGTCCTTAACCTGTGAGGCGAGAGGATGTTGTGCTGATCTATTTTAAATCTTGGCCTGTGACTATATCAGAATACTCTGGCTGTATAAACTAAGATGACAGGTAAAATTCATGATTGCAGGCATGGAAATGGAAGTCTTACTGGCTTCATTATTGCCATCTCAGAGTATATAAAGTATATTTCTCTTCCTGTGTAACGGGTGGAGAAAAAATAACACTGCTGCATATGCTTTGATTAAAATTGAACAGTTTCCATTTCTTCAGCGAGCCGATTGCAAGAAAAAAACAGGTGCCTGGCCGGGTGACTCAGTTGGGGCACCATACCGTGCACCGAAAAATTTCGAGTTTGATCCCCAGTTGGGACGCATACAAAAGGAACCTTATCAATGTTCTTCTCTCTCTCTCTCTCTCTTCTCTCTCTCTCTCTCTCTCTCTCTCTCTCTCTCTCTCTCTCTCTCTCTGTCTCTCTCTCCCTCCCTCCCTCCCTGCTTCCCTCCCTCCCTCCCCCTTCCTCTCTTTCTCTTGAGCCTGGCTGGTATGGCTCAGTGGTTGAGCATCAGCCTATGAACCACAAGGTCACAGGTCAATTCCTGGTCAGGGCACATGTCCTGGTTGTGGGCTCGATCCCCAGTAGGGGACATCAGGAGGCAGCCAATCAATGATTCTCTCTCATTGTTTATGTTTCTATCTCTTTTCCCTCTCCCTTTCTGAAATCAATTAAAAAAAAAAAAAAGAGTCGTATTAGTTTCAGATCCTTGCTTTTCATTACTTTGCATACTTCATGTTGTTCCCTTCTTGCCTGTAGTGTTTCTGTTGAGAAATCAGCTGACAACCTTATGGGATCCCCCTTGTAAGTAACTGTCTATCTCTTCCTGCCCTTAAGATTCTCTCTTTTTTTCTTTAATATATTTTTATTGATTTCAGAGACAGGAAAGGAGAGGGAGAAAGAGATAGAAAGAACAATGATGAGAGAGAATCATGATTAGCCTCCCCCTGCATACCCCACACTGGGGATTGAGCCCACAACCCAGACATATGCCCTGACCGGGAATTGAACTATGACCTCCTGGTTCATGGGTCCACCTACAACCACTGAGCCACATCGGCCAGGCTGGGCATTGTTTCTTTGTCTCACCATTTTAGTTATCCCTTTCTGTGTATGTCTGTGTATTAAATAGAATTCCTATGACTCCCTGTCTTTATGATGTGGCCTTTGGTAGTAAATGTCCTGTGGGACCCGGTGTGTGGTTTCCTTGAACTCCTAAGCTGGATGCTAGGGGTGTCCCTTTTGTGTGTTATTTGGGCTCTGGTATTGTAATTGGGTCGGATCTCCTTTCAGGCTGGCTGACTACAAGGCTCACCCCTGACCATGTTGTGTGAGCTGTTGTACAGTGCTCTCAACTCAAAAGAAAACATAAGCTTGCTCTAGCTGGTTTGGCTCAGTGGATAGAGCATCAGATTGCGGACTGAAGGGTCCCAGGTTCGATTCCGGTCAAGGGCAAATGCCTGTGTTCTGGGCTCGATTCCCAATAGGAGGCATGTAGGAGGCAGCCGATCAATGATTCTCTCTCATCATTGATGTTTCCATCTCCCTCTTTCTCCCTTCCTCTCTGAAATCAATAAAAATGTTTTGTTTTGTTTTTTAATTGATTAAATCTTTATTGTTCAGATTATTACATTTGTTCCTCTTTTTTCCCCCCATAACTCCCCTCCTCCCAGTTCCCGCCCCACCCTCCACCCTCACTCCCCACCCACTGTCCTCATCCATAGGTGCACGATTTTTGTCCAGTCTCTTCCCGCATCTCCCACACCCCTTTCCCCCCCAAGAATAGTCAGTCCATTCCCTTTCTATGTCCCTGATTCTATTATGATCACCAGATTATTTGTTCACTTGATTCTTAGATTCACTTGTTGATAGATGCATGTTTGTTGTTCATAATTTGTATCTTTACCGTTTTCTTCTTCTTCCTCTTCTTAAAGGATACCTTTCAGCATTTCATATAATACTGGTTTGGTGGTGATGAACTCCTTTAGCTTTTCCTTATCTGTGAAGCTCTTTATCTGACCTTCAGTTCTGAATGATAGCTTTGCTGGATAAAGTAATCTTGGTTGTAGGTTCTTGGTATTCATCACTTTGAATATTTCTTGCCATTTCCTTCTGGCCTGCAAAGTTTCTGTTGAGAAATCAGCTGACAGTCGTATGGGTATTCCCTTGTAGGTAACTGAGTTTCTTTCTCTTGCTGCTTTTAAGATTCTCTCTTTGTCTTTTGCTCTTGGCATTTTGATTATGATGTGTCTTGGTGTGGTCCTCTTTGGATTCCTTTTGTTTGGGGTTCTCTGCGCTTCCTGGACCTGTAAGTCTATTTTTTTCACCAGGTGGGGGAAGTTTTCTGTCATTATTTCTTCAAATAGGTTTTCAATATCTTGCTCTCTCTCTTCTTCTGGCACCCCTATAATTCGGATGTTGGTACGCTTGAAGCTGCCCTAGAGGCTCCTTACACTATCTTTGTATTTTTGGATTCTTTTTTCTTTTTTTTTTTTTCTTTCTTTTTTTAAATATATTTTATTGATTTTTTACAGAGAGGAAGGGAGAGGGATAGAGACTTAGAAACATCGATGAGAGAGAAACATCGATCAGCTGCCTCCTGCACACCCCCTACTGGGGATGTGCCCGCAACCAAGGTACATGCCCTTGACCGGAATCGAACCCGGGACCCTTCAGTCCACAGGCCGACGCTCTATCCACTGAGCCAAACCAGTTAGGGCTGGATTCTTTTTTCATTTTGCTTTTCTAGTTGGGTGTTTTTTGCTTCTTCGCATTTCGAATCTTTGACTTGATTCTTGTGCTCCCCTGGTCTGCTGTTGGGTGTCTGTATAATATTCTTTATTTCAGTCAGTGTATGCTTAATTTCTAGTTGGTTCTTTATCACAACATCGAGGGTCTCATTAGATTTCTTGAGGATCTCACTACATTTATCGGTGGTCTCACCAGTCTTTTCGAAGGCCTTACTAAGTTTATCGGCAGCTTCTAGACAGTTCTTGAGAGACCTTAAAAGTGTGGTTTTGAGCTCTATATCTTCCATTTCTGACATTTGCGTCCTGTTTCTTTGTCTCTGCATTTTTTTTTTATCTTTTCTGGTGCACCCCCTAGTGGTCTTTGTGTGCAGTCTTGTAGTTAAGCCTTGATTGTTGTCGGCAATACCGGGGGTGATTTGACCTCCAGGCTAACTGGCTATGAGAGTCAGCTGTGTCTGTAGTGGGAGAACTTCTGTGCTGGATCTCTAGGGCGGTGCTAATCTAGCGTTTGCCTGAGGCTATCTGGCAAATGGCTCTGCGCAGGGCTTGGGTGGGGCGGGTCCCCGGGGATCTACAGGGCTGGCGGAGGGAGCAGTTATGGCTGCTCTCAGTTCCGTCCCTAGGGGCTCTGCCTCACAGAGTCCCAGCAACCGCTGCAAACCTCGGAGAGAAAGCTGCCTTCGAGTTCTGACCAAAGCCAGAGAGTCCCGCTTCTCCCGTTTGAGTCTGGGTCCCTAGAGACTCGCCCAGATCTGGAGCTCAGAGTCTGAAACTCCCTCCCAATTGAAAACAACAACCGCGCCCTCCGCCGCCAGCCCGGTCGCGCACACTCCACACCTGAGTATTTCACTTCAGCACTGCGCCTCCTCTGAGTCTGGGTATGATATTCTCTTTCCTCCTAGTTGTAGAATTTCCACTCAGCCAGCCTTCCTGTGGTTCTGGATGATGTCCGTTCCGTCTTTTAGATGTATTTTTGATTGGTTGTTTGAGGCAGCAATCTCCGGCATTAACCTATGCCACCATCTTGGTTTTTCTCCAAAAATGTTTTTATAAAATTAAAATTAAATCAATAAAAACGTTTTTTTAATAAAAGCCCTCGCTGGTTTGGCTCAGAGGATAGAGTGTCGACCTGTGGACTGAAAGGTATCAGGTTTGATTCTGGTCAAGTGTACATGCCCAGGTTGCAGACTCGAACCCCAGGAGGGGATGTGCAGGAGGCAGTCGATCAATGATTCTCTCATCATTGATGTTTCTATTTCTCTCTCCTTTCTGAAATCAATAAAAATATACTTTAAAAAAAAAAGAAAATATAAGCAAAACAAAAACACAAAAGAACCCAACAATAACAGCAAAATTAACCACAAAAGAAGAG